GAGGTGGTTGGGTTGCCTTGAGCCTTGCACCAATTAATGAGGTGCATGCTAGCATTAATGAGGAACACCACCCAACAAATCTTCTCTTCCGATTTTAATGCGTCAGGTTCAGCAGCTTGACACCTTCGCAGCAGTCTTCAAATTTTCTTGCTAGTACCGGCTTGGTCATCATGTTAGACCAATTCAGGTTGGCGTGCACTTTGACGAGTTCGAATTGTCCATCCTCTACTACATCCCTGATCCATGTGTTTAGTGCGGGAGTGATAGGTTGAGTTCTTTGCAAGATAAATTGTGCTTTGATAATCATACTTCATCTCGTATTTGTCTTGATCATATCTGAGTTCATAAAGGAACTACTTCATCCTCAACAATTCTTTGCAAGCCTCGATCGCGGCTATATACTCGACTTCAATCGTCGAAAGTGCCACACATTTCTGAAATTTTGATTGCCAAGAGACAGGTCATCCTGCAAAAGTCATCAAATATACAGTCGACGACTTCCTTGAGTTGGCTAAAGCCTGATTTGACCTTATTCATTTACACCCCTAAGAGTTGTCATAAATGTTAGAATTATGGGCAAACTCATTCTATTTCAATTAAAATAGGTTTCAAACACTTCGAAACATAAAATTGGCTCTTGAAAAATGATTTTCATGAAAGAGTGAGAAGTTAAAAACTTAAAATATTTTCCTATCATTTTGGAAAAAAATCTTTTGAAATATTGTGATGTGGAGTATGTATTTTGAAAATACTTTGAGCTCTTTAATGTAAATTTTCAAATACCCTTGCATTTAAGTACAAGTTCTAAAAATACAATACTTATCAGGTTTTGGACTTAGCTTCTTGAATAATGGATTGAATCTTATATCTTTTCTTAAATTTTGTCATTGGCTTGTTTGCTTTCTTTGTGTTTTAATTTTGAGAATTTTGTTTTTTAATTTCCTTTTTGATTGTTGCTTCTTTACTTGTGTTAGTACTTAAATTTTTTATGTTAGTTTCTTATCATCGAAACTTTGGTGATGGAACACCATTATAATGACCTCCATCCGATAAATCTTAATTAGAGATTTAATTTAAGAATTTAAATGTCATAATTAGATTCAGAACGTGATTTCGAGTGTTTTGACTGTAATCATGACTAGGTCATGAACAGTTACTTCTATCGAGTATTTTGCACTGCTGTAAAATTTATCGGTAGAATTAACAAATGAGAAAATTTAATTTATGCCAAGCAAGTCATTTTAAGATTAAAAATATTATATTTATTAAGTTATGCTTTGGGATTTAAGTATAAGTGTAAGTAGTGTAAATTAAATAGGTAAAAAAAAAAACAACCAACTAATTAAAAAGCTAGGTCACTTAAGTCCCTTCCTCATGAAATATGATCCACTTGCATTCTTCTCTTCCTATTTGCGCTGCAAAAAACAGAGAAGGGAGGGAACTCCATGGAAATGAAAGCAAGCTCATCACCTTGTAGATTTAGTCATTTTTAGATATAGGTTCCTTCACAAAAAGGAAAGCCTTTGGTCCTGTGCTAAAAGCCCAAGCCTTAGATCAACTTTTAAGGCTCTTAATCCTTTGTTCTACCTCCATGAAACTTGCAGTCACTATTCATCAAAGGGTGTAAATGGTGAGTTCTAGTCGAATTGAAGCTTGGAGATTAATCTTGTGAAGAGATAGAAAGCATCCAAGGTAAGAAAATCTATTTGTAATGGATGATTCATTTGATTCAAACTTAGGTTTTCTTGTATTTTGGGTTGACTAGCAATGTATGAAATCATGGATGTATGAATTTTTTTATGTTTAGATATGTCTTGTGATGAGTTTCAAGTAAAACAAACCAAGTTAAAATGATAAGAACTTGAGAAAATCCATGGTTTCCTATCATACATGTTTCAGCCATGAAGAAAGAAATATGTGAACAAGGGTATGCCTCGGCCATGATGTGTCCAAGAGGGAAAATAATGTGTTTAATTCATGAAAGGCTATGTTGCATGATTTGTAAACTAAGTTAAGTTGTTGAAAAAGAGTTGCCAAAATTCTGAAAATTGTGGATATGTACCTCTGACTGTGGAGGGTGATATCTCCCTCATCCCTTGGTCAAATGAGGCTCATGATACCTCATTTTAAAGCTTGAGATGTCATTTATATTGCCCTAAAATTTGAGATGATTATAGGTCGTAGTTTGTCCCCAAAGTCAAATTGAGTACTGACTGCTCAAAAATCGCGAGATGCAGGGACGATTCCAAAATTCAAACTTCAAAAATTCATATCTCTCTCATTACTTACCCAAATTAAGCTTATGATACCTCGAATTAAATCCCTAGGTGTCTACTACAACATATTAATTTTTGACAGAAATCAGACTTGTGAAACTCTCACAGTGACAAAAACCGTGAGGGAGGTTGGGATTTCCTGCACTGCCTAAAAACAGATTTGTGAGTTGAACTTCCAAAAATCATAACTTGAGCTATATAGCTCTGATTAAAGTGTATGATACCTTGTTGGAAAGATTAGGAAGTCTAAAATTAAATATTGGAATTTATAGATATATAGTTCATTTCCAGCTTCAGTTTGAATGAAGGTAACTCAAGTTGAAAAAATATGAAAACACTAAATTTGGCCTTGGGGTGATGGAAACCACTTAGGTATATTAAATAAGTGTTGTAAAAGGTATTTTAGAAGCTTGGCTGGGTCATTCTAAGAGCCTATGTAAGGTAAGCATCCTTAAATGATCGAACAAATGAGTTAAATAAATTACAGTCTTGACTTGTGAATTGGCATATGTTTGGCATAAGTTTGAAGAAATGAAAGTACGCAATAAAATGTATGCCTTATGTAAATTACATGGCATTGTATCATTTTATTGATTTTTATTTTGGATTTCTCCTCTAGGTGTGCCTAGGGACTGTGAACGTTTGAATTCTCGTGGAGACAGATAAGTAGCTTGTTCTTCAAGTAAGCAAATTGTGAAGCTCCAAGAGGTAAGCTCTATGTTTAAGGAGTCTTTTTCTACTTGAGTGCTCCACCATGGTTAGTGGACTATGGTTGAATTGTATGATTGTATTTGATGCTTTGTATAGATGCATTCATATAGAGTTATTTGATAATATGATATGTTTTGTTCTTAGGTGATTTTTGTAATGATCTATGGTCATTGATTGTTTGTGCACTGATATCTGCTTAGGGTCCTCCCTTGAGAACACGTGCGTTGATTCTGCTTGAGGTCATCCCTTGGAAATGACTGCGTACGCCTCTGATAAGATATGTATATATGCTTTGTTCAGTTATGATATTTGTTATATGATGCTTTGTATACTCTGTATATGACTTTCATGCAGGAGTGAGCCCAGGGGTATGGAGAATTCTCTATAAACCTGGAGCTTATTGAGATTTGTTATCTCACCCCTTTTGGGACATCATTTCAGGGTTTCAAATTCCCGTTGAGCCCTCACGAGGCAGGGACACGACTCGTGGCTAGAGGGGTTGCGACGGATCGGATTTGGAGTAGCTGTAGGCTACTGATTTTTTATGGTTATTTATGTGATTTCAGTATTTTGTTATTTTGGGATCAAGATGTATGATCTATTCCTTGTATATGGTTTGCATATGTTTTGCACATGTCTTTCAGTTTTGATGCATGTGCAATTGTGTATTCAGACATGTTTATATTATGATGTAGTATTCAGTTATATATTTACATGTTGGTTATGCATGCTGTTAGACATAGTGGCACAGAGCCAAGTTATGCACGCGCCCACGGATGGATATATGGTCCTTTATGGATACTTGGTATGTCTGAAATCATGCATTGTAAACTGTTTATCAGGATACCTTGAGTGTGGGATTTGCAAATCCCCGTTTGTTCAATTTACAGACATCACTTTGTCCGATTTCGTCTCTGTTAAATGAAAATTAAACTAGAAGAAGTATACAATGTGATATACCATGTGAAAAGGATTAAAGAAAAAAGAAAAAGTTAGCTCGTATTTTCGTAAGTTAAGTCTTCCGCTATTTCTGTTTAGTATCATATATATGTTAATTGAATCGGCTCGAGACGGGGATGTTACAACCATCAAATACCAAATATTAAAAGCTGTTTGATTCCACAATTGTTTCAACCTCAGCAAACCCACCCAGATTACTTAAAATGGTTACACATCACAATTGAACAAGGATGCTAATCGGATGTTACATAGCATTCTAAAATTTTATTTTATATTTTAAAGTCATGAAGTTATCAAATTACTTGACTTAAATTAATACTTTAGGCATAGGAAAGGGATCCACTCACTTCAATAATAAATCTTGGATCCTTACACCATTTAATAACATTTTATGGAAAATAAATGTAATAAATCTAACCGTTGAATCATGTGATGTTATCTTGATAATTATGCATGTCAAATTTTATATAAACCAGACTTTCATAGATAATATAATCTTATAATTGACGTTTACTTATGAATTAAAAAAAAAATATGTTTATACATTAAAATAAAATTGTATGATAAAGTATCAACTAGGTTTTAAATTTAATAAAATTTCATAGATTTTTATTTGGGCTTTATTAATTTCATGCAATAGGAGAGAACTCTCTCATGCAATAGAGATAGTCATGTGTGGGATCCACCCACTATAGAAAAAGGAAAAAAAAAATAAAAAAGTAACACGGAAATCGATGTATGTGTAAGAGAGAAAAATTCTCTCTTACAACACAACATAAGAGTATATTTTTCCTTTTTATTTAATAAGAACTTTCAATTTAGCAATTGGATTGAAATTCAATATCCAAAACAAGTTATTACATATTATGACTGAGAAGTACAAATTTATAAAGAAATTGGACCCAATTAAATCGGCCCAACCCAACAAGCCCAGTAGCTTCCGTTTGAACCGAAATAGATTCCAATTATTTAGAGTTTGGGCCCAAAGACGCAAACCGTGTGTAGATATTTTTGTTTCAACCAGCAACAAGAGCAATAGCAAAAGCCACACCACCACAAGACCATCCCTTCAACATGATTACACGATGAGATGAGATGAGATGAGACAAAAATGAAGAAGTGCTTCCACCAATCACAACCACCACTATCATCTCCCCTTCATGGCCTCGTTGGGATTTTCCATCTCTCTCGATTTTGCTTTCGATTCCAAACCTTCACTTCCTTCCCTTTCCCTTTCCACTTCCACTTCCACTTCCACTTCCATTCACCCTCACCCAAAAACGAAGCTTGGAATTCCCGTCGCCGAAGCGAACCCGAATTCCAACCCTCAGGTTCGGAGCACTAAGAAAGCGCCAAAGACAAGCAGAGACTTGAAATTCAGTTACGCAACTAAAAGCAATGTTCCGCTAAACACGGAGAAGTTGTTCACGCACGGTGCTGACGTGGATTTCTCTTCCGTTGGGGTTGAACTGAGCGCGCAGCATTGCAACGCAATCTTGAAACGGCTTGCAGAAGAAGAAGAGAGCGCGAGTGACGGCGCCAAAACGCTGTCGTTTTTCGAGTGGATGAGGAAAACCGGGAAGCTTGAACGCAACGCCGGTGCTTACACCGTGGCTGCACGCGCGTTGAGCAGGAGAGGAGATTGGGAAGCTGCAGAAAAACTTGTTCGGGAAATGAGGGACAAGTTTGGTTCCGAATTGAGTTTCCACGTTTTCAACACGCTCATCTACGCGTGCTCCAAACGCGGTCTCGTTCAATTGGGCGCGAAGTGGTTCCGAACGATGCTATCGTTCGGCGTAGTTCCGAACGTCGCGACGTTCGGAATGTTAATGACCCTTTGCCAGAAGGGATGGAACGTTGAGGAAGCAGAGTTTGCGATTTCGCAAATGAGGGAACATAAAATAATATGTGAATCTGCATATTCTTCAATGATAACAATTTATACCCGTTTTGGGTTATATAAGAAAGCTGAAGGTGTTATTGAGATGATGAAGAGTGATGAGGTTGTTCCTAATTTGGAGAATTGGTTAGTTATGTTGAATGCATATAGCCAGCAAGGGAAATTGGAGGATGCTGAGAGAGTGTTGTTTACGATGCAAGAGGCAGGGTTTTGCCCTAACATTGTTGCTTATAATACTATGATAACAGGTTATGGGAAAGCGTCGAACATGGATGCTGCTCAGAGGATGTTTTTGTGTATGCAGTTTAGGGTTGGATTGTATCCTGATGAAACGACATACCGTTCAATGATTGAGGGTTGGGGTAGAGCTGATAACTATGAACAAGCAAGGTGGTATTATAAGGAGCTTAAGCGGTTAGGGTATAAGCCGAATTCGTCGAATTTGTATACGTTGATAAAGTTGGAAGCTAAACATGGAGATCATGAGGATGGTGCTGTTGGGATCATCATCCTTGATGATATGGTGGATATTGGATGTCAGTATTCTTCTATAATTGGTACTCTTTTGCATGTGTATGAGAGGGCTGGGAAGGTTCATAAGGTGCCTGTTTTGCTCAAAGGTTCGTTTTATCGACACGTTTTGGTTAACCAGAGTTCTTGCTCAACTCTGGTCATGGCTTATGTGAAGCATCAGTTGGTGGAAGATGCTATCAAGGTGTTGAATGACAAGAAGTGGAAAGATCCGCATTATGAGGATAACTTGTATCATCTTTTGATTTGCTCGTGCAAAGAGGCGGGTTTGATGGAGGATGCTGTTAAGATTTTTAGTCAAATGCCCAAGAGCGATGACAAGCCGAACATGCACATCATGTGCACCATGATTGACATTTATAGTGTCATGGGGCTTTTCAATGATGCGGAGGTGTTGTATCTGAAGTTGAAATCTTCAGGTATTTCCTTGGATATGATTGCCTTTAGCATTGTTGTGAGAATGTATGTCAAAGCTGGATCTTTGAAAGATGCTTGCTCTGTTTTGGATGCAATTGACAAGCGACCGGATATTGTTCTGGACAATTTTTTGTTGCGTGATATGTTACGCATTTATCAAAGATGTAACATGGTGGATAAACTAGCTGATATGTACTACAAAATCTCAAAAGATAGAGCGAGTTGGGATCAGGAACTATATAATTGTGTCCTAGATTGCTGTGCTCAGGCTCTGCCAGTAGATGAGCTTTCGCGGCTTTTTGATGAGATTCTACAGCGTGGATTTGCACCTAACACAGTTTCCTTCAATGTCATGCTCAATGTCTTTGGGAAAGCCAAGCTTTTCAAGAAGGTTAGGAGGTTTTTCTGTATGGCTAAGAAGCAGGGCCTGGCTGATGTGATCTCTTACAACACTATCATAGCTGCATATGGGAAAAATAAAGACTTCAAGAACATGTCATCAATGGTTCAGAAGATGCAATTTGATGGATTTTCGGTTTCCCTTGAAGCTTACAATTCGATGCTGGATGCTTATGGGAAAGATGGCCAGATGGAGACATTTAGATCTGTGTTGCAAAAGATGAAGGAATCGAATTGTGACTCTGACCACTACACATACAACACCATGATCAATATCTATGGAGAACAAGGGTGGATTGAGGAAGTTGCTAATGTGCTTACGGAATTGAAAGAATGTGGACTTGGTCCTGATTTGCATAGCTACAACACATTGATCAAGGCATATGGAATAGCAGGAATGGTTGAAGAGGCCGTAGGTTTGATCAAGGAAATGAGAAAAAATGGAATAGAACCTGACAAGAAAACCTACACTAATCTTATCACTGCACTGCGCCGAAATGATAAATTTTTAGAAGCTGTTAAATGGTCGTTATGGATGAAACAGCTGAAATTATGAATTTCATAAAGCTATGACATTATCTGTGTGGTCTTAGACCTCTAACTTCGTTTCTTTGAGGAATAGCATGACCTTAAAGTCCTGCTTGAGTACAGTCTCTGACCTTTAGCTTCCTTGGTGAGATATTAATGTATATCTCGCTGCAAACATAAATAAACAGATATACACACACCCACACACATATTTGTGTTGTAGAATTGGAGTCATTCATTCTTCTGATATTCTATCACATGAATGACTGTTTTTATGATCTTCTAGCAGTACTATCAACTATTCGTATATTTTTAAAATATGTAAATGATGATTCCATGTGAAACCAATTTTGGTTTATTGTCTGATTTTTAAAATGGAGAATTAGTATCGTTCTTGAGTATTTACTTCCACATATAGGTGGTATTATTTTCCTATTCTAATTTTCTAGCACAAGTCCATATTTTTTCTCTCGACATAATGTGTATACTATGTGATTTTGCAAACTGGAAGTTCATTTTTTTTTTTTTTTTTTTATATTAGCTTTCTACATCCATTCTTGTCATGGTAGAGCTCGTGATTGATGATTGTAAGTTCCGAATCTGAGTCCAGATATCATGGATTTTCAGTGGAATAGCTGCTGTATGGGATATTGACTTTAAATAAGGTGTTAGATAAGAAATCGAAGTATGATGAGACAACTTGGAAATATTCTACGAAGACCTTGAAGATATCTCGCTCGCTGCACATGCGTAATATTGAGCACACTCGCATTTTGCAACCAACTGGCGGAAGATAAATTTCATTTAAAGCTCCAATTAGGAGGCACTAATCAGAAAATGTCAGTGAGTCAGTGACAGAGTTTCCAGCTCCAAAAGCAACCTGTTTGAATCAGCAATTGTAATTTTCACTCTGGTATTTGCTCTACAACGGTACTTTGCCACATTACATAAACTAGGTCTGCAGTTCTGTACTCCTATTTCCTACAAGATGTGCTTTTTACATGATTTTTACATGATTTTAATACCTCGAGGCTACGATTATGATCTAATCCCAGAAAGCAATTACTATTATGCTATCAACTCCCACACCTACACCTTAATTGTTATCCTTAATCTTTTTTTTTTTTTAATAATCAAATGGTTGCTGAGTGTTAATTCTTTGACTATTGATGCCCGTGTATTTTTCATCTATACAATGATAATAACTTCTTCCTTTCCGAATACATTCGATATAATTCAAGATTGTATTGGTAAACCTTATATGCAAGAGTTGGGTGTTCTTTTAAAGAAAGAGCCATGATTTTAAAAGAAAGAGCCATGATCATGGTATAATATAGTATAAACTGATAAATTAACCCCACTTCAGAAGTTGGAGTCCTGACCACCATCGTTATCTATGTTTTACAAAGAATATATAAAGAGGCTACCATTGTTTTTGCCCGGGAAACGGATCGCAACAATTACTCTCGAGTCTACAAAGATTCTCACAGCAACCATTTGGACGTCAGAAACTAAAATCTGCATTTTGGGCAGATTTAACCACAATCATAACTCTTGGGCGTGTTGATCGAACTACAGTTTTGGCACTAGTACACAAAACAAGTATCAGGGAGCACAAATTTGTCCACGCTTATGACTTTCCTTCAGTGAATAGCCAAACCAAATTGTTGCCGGCGAAGTGGGGAATCCAAATGCCTTGGTCTTTCCCCACTTTAACTCAGACAAGGCATCGAAAACCATATGCATTGCTCTTTCCTGCCACTTTAAAAGACCTATGTTTGTTAAATGAACGTATCACACCCCTTTTACCACAACAAGAAGCTCTGACAGCAAAAAGACAAGATATGTTGTCCACAAACTGATCGGGGATATTTGCGCTAGGGCAATCTTTATAAAAGTTTTCCTTCAGTTGTTTCAGTACTTTCTGCATCCATAAAACTACGCAAACCATAAGCAGTTTGTTACTTGCAGCTTAAATATATAATGAACTGTATGTTTGATTCATGGCATCAAATTAACCGGATACAGTCCAATTTAAAGCTGAGATAACAGGGATGAACTCTACTATCCTTTTCCATTTCTTCTCAATGTAATTTACATTAATAATTGAATTCAATGAAAATGACTAATATTATTAGAAATAAGAAATAACAGCATGTTTCTATCCCTAATGAACATTGTCGGATCTACTATAATACATCTATCATATATTTCACGTGTAAACAGAAAAAATTCCTTTTGCATTACCAAGATTAGCTCTGGCCGAAGTTTCCGCACTGTACAGAGGATCTGCTGCAAGCATTTAGCACTGGCCACGTCTATTGCTCAGCAGTAACTCAATTCAGGCATTGGAAATCACCAACATTAAAATTTCATGGAGAATTTCCTTCCCTGAATGTTGATTATCAATTTGACGGGTGAGAAAAGCTTTTCTTCTCTTGAACCACCCTTGTGTTAATTAGATCACCTACTCAGTAAAATTCTGAGCATTCTTGCAACATGATTTCTTCAAAAAAAAAATCATCAGAACCTATTTTCTTTCCAGGCCTTTTCCAGAAGCAATGTTGGGTCATTAATGGTTCGAATCTCAACTTCTAAAACAGGACGAATTATGCCCCAGAAATTTGTCCTTGATTTTGCATTAGAAGTAAAGAATGCTTCCATGGAAACTTATAATTGCTGATTGAAGAGAAATGCTCAGTTAAAGAAGTATGGAGAATCAAGAACCTGCCGTAAATCAAAATCACCTCTCTTTGGCAGTGAAGGGAAAGCCAATCCTGGATATGTAGTCTGGAAGCCCTCCAGCAGCTGTCAACAGATCAAAGTTTAATCTCAAGAAGACCAAAGAAAACAACCTATGGGTATTAAACAGGGACAATACGATACTAATGATTTTAGCCAAGTTTAGTTTGAACTCACGTGATGCTAGTTTAATAACAGCCTAAGGATAATTTTTATTTTTTTATTTTTTAACAAAAACATATAGCAGTCCCTTAACTAGTCATCTGTATTAGTATATAGTAGGAGGAGAGGCCTCTGTACATTTTTCCTTTTTCTAATACGAAACTCTTTGCTTTTGCCATTTTTTTCATTCAACAACTTATGTTTTAGATTAAGAAACTCTTTAACTTTACCCACAATATTCTTTGCAATTAAAGTCCAATAAGAACTTGCATATATTTGATAATAAAATAAAATAAAATAAAAATCACTCCCCATTAAATCCTTAAATCCTAACTAGGGAGGGCTGCCTCGAACTCATCCTCTCTATAAATTTGAAAATAAGATAACAAGTAATAATTTTTCTCCATGTATTCTTAAAAATTAAGCCCAAACTCTGCATGATATAGCAAGAACTTACATTTTCAAGTATAGGCATGTTATACAGCTCCACAAATTTTTCTCTAAGAATCTGATTCATTTTCTCAACGTCACATGCGTGTGTCCAAAATGAGTCATGAACCCCTACAAGCATTTATTTCACAAAATTTAAGCAACAAAGTACATGGAAAAAAAAAAAAACATTTCTTTCATGGACATTTACAGCCCACAAAATTTTTCGAAGTTGAGCATCAGCATCAACATCAACATCACCTTTATCCCAAATTAATTGGGATCGGTGGTAGATGAACCCACATGAGAGATACAAAACAGTTGAAAAAATAAAATAAAAATAAAAAATAAAAATAAAATAAAATAAAATAAAATATATATGTATATATATATGTATATATAAATAAAATAAAAGTAAAAAAGAAAGGGACAAGAAGAAGTGGAGGAGATGAAGGGGAAAAAGACTAAAAAATGACCATCTGGAACATAGGAATAACAACGGGTCTAACCCTCCACCATATTTATAGCTTTTCTCCATTCTGTTCTGTTAAGATCCTTGAGGTCACCACCCCAAAAGCTAGCTCAAGGGGTGGGAGTGCCTAAGGCCTTATAAACTCCACATTAGTTGCACATACAACCAATGTGGGACTATATATCTCAACACGCCCCCTCACACAAGAGCCCATTGGGCTTGAAGAGTGGACAATGCAACAGGCCCAGCCTACCTGTGCTAAGAAACGCCACAAGAGAAAGTGGGGGCGGCGAGGCTTTGATACCATGTTAAGATATGTTCTAAGACAAACCGTCCGCCAATCTATATCCCACTCCATTAAATCTTGTTTTACCACCTTCCCCCAAGTAAGTTTCGGCCTACCTCTGCCTCTTTTTGTGTTGAGCTCTTGGTAACAAACTTATGTTCTTACAGGAGCATCCAGGGGCCTTCTCATCACGTGCCCAAACCACCTCAATCTATGTTCTCTCATCTTCTCGGCTACTGGTACTACTCCGACCTTTCGTCGAATATCTTTATTTCTTATCTTATCCATCCTTGTGTAACCACACATCCACCTTAACATCCTCATCTCTGCGACTCCCATCTTATGCTCATGTTGCCTATGTGCTGGCCAGCATTCCGCGCCATATAGCATTGCCGGTCTTACTGCCGTTTTATAGAATTTTCCTTTTAACTTAAGAGGGATTTTGCGGTCACACAAAAACCCAGATGCACTGCGCCATTTCATCCACCCTGCTCTGATTATGTGATTTACATCCTCATCAATCTCTCCACCTTTTTGTAATATGGAGCCCAAGTATTTAAAAGCATCTTTTTTGGGTACCTCTTGACCACTTAAATGCACGGGCTCTTGGTCCTCATCTCGTACCAGAGAAAACTCACACTTCAGATACTCAGTCCTGCTTCGACTTAATGTGAATCCTTTGGATTCCAATGTGCTTCTCCACAATTCAAGTTTTCTATTAACACCCTCCTTGCTCTCATCAATAAGCACAATATCGTCTGCAAAAAGCATACACTATGGCACTTTCTCTTGAATATCTTTTGTTAGTTCATCCATAACTAAGGCAAAAAGATAAGGACTTAGAACCGACCTTTGGTGTACACCTACCGCGATAGGAAAATAACTTGATGTTCCGTTACAAGCTTTTACACATGTAGTAGCTCCATCATACATATCCTTGATTGCCTTTACATACTTTGATGGAACCTTTTTCTTCTCCAAAACCCACCATAAAACATTCCTTGGAACCCTATCGTATGCTTTCCATTAGTTGTCGCATCAAGAAAATGGCTTCCATGGTACATCTTCCTGGCATAAATCCAAATTGATTTACAGAAACCTTGGTATCTCTCCTCAAGCGATGTTCAATAACCCTCTCCCACAACTTCATAATATGGCTTATTACCTTAATGCCTCTATAGTTTGAACAATTCTGTATATCTCCCTTGTTTTTGTAGATAGGCACAATCATACTTTTCCTCCATACATCAGGCATCTTATTTGTTTAGAGAATCTTATTGAAAAGATTGGTCAACCATTTTATTGCCAACTCCCCCAGGCCTCTCCACACTTCAATAGGAACACCATCAGGCCCCAAGGCTTTATTAGTCTTCATCCTCTTTAAAGCCTCCTTAACTTCATGTGTATTAATTCTGCGAACAAATCTTCTATTCATATCATCATACACGTCCTCCAAGTCCACCTCGCTTGTATCTCCATCCCCATTAAACAGCTTGTTGAAGTAGTTCAACCATCTTTCATTTACATCTTCATCTCTCACCAGAAGTTTTTGATTTTCATCCTTGATGCATCTAACTTGGGTGAGGTCTTTACTTTTCTTATCTCTTATCTTTGCAAGTTTATAAATACCTCTTTCACCATCCTTGCTCCCAAGATTTTTATACAACTCGTCGAAAACCTTGCCTCTAGCTTCTCGCACAGCTTTCGAAGTCGAGCATATAAAGTGAAAATATATGTAAATATAATATCAGTCAATTTTTTCGTACTTTTCATTTGGGTTCATCCGCCACCGACCCCAACTAATTTGGATAAGGTTTTGTTGATGTTGATGATGTTGATAATAATAGTCAGATAGCTAAAAGTGGATTTAATAAGTACGGTAGTAACTATTCTAGAGTCTAGATGTGCCTTAAGCATTTCAAATGCAAGTTGATCCAAAGCAAGATCCCTATATCTTTTGTATATTCTATGGAACAGATTTGATACGAAAAAATCGAGAGGTTTGAGATGTAGAAAACAGAAAAAGTATAGAGTCACAGTAATGGAAGAATAACATTTCAACTACAGAAACTATGATATATTAACGTATTTTAGGACCATTCCCACTCATACTTAGAGAATCAACGCTTGAATTCTCTCTCCAAACAAAAAAAAGGTGAGAGCAAGCAATAGAGTTCCTACAAGCAGTTTTCAGAAAATAATCAAGAATTTTATAATACAACCAACTATATTAGTTTCCCTATTTATAATTCAACCAGAAAATTGAATTTCAGCTACAAAATGCATTTTTCCTTAAGATTGTGATAATCTTCACAATTTAAAAGTAACTGATTCCAACTCCATCTCTGCATCTTCAAAATACAATTAAGCATAGAGGCCAAAGACAAAGCAGACAATTTTGTACATTTAAAAAGTCTTGTAAAGAACCAATTCAACCCAAAAGCTTAAGCTGGTGGGTGAGGACCTTTTTAATGGTTTATACTATTTTCTAACACGCCCCCTCACACGAGAGCCCACTGGACTTGAAGGGTGGACAATACACAGCCCCACCTACTTGTGTTAAGAAAATTCCACAAGAGAAAGAGAGGGCGGTGAGGATCAAATCCGGGACACGAGGCTCTGATACCATGTAAAGAACCAATTCAACCCAAAAGCTTAAACTGTTGGGTGAGGCTACATTAATGGTTTTATATAGCTCTAACACGTCCCCTCACACTAGAACCCATTGGGCTTGAAGGGTGGACAATGCACAGGCTCACCTACCTGTACTAAGAAACTCCATAATACTGAATTAATTATTAATTAAATGGGAGGCGGTAAGGATTGAACTTGTGTGTTACGACCCCTAATAATAAAAGCTGAGTCAACAAATGGTTAGTTTGTTATGGGGATAATATTCCCTTTTTCTGTTAAGGGTGTGTTCGATGAGGTTAGGTTAAATGGCTATATAGAGGGAGGGAAATTATCGTAAGGGTATCTGGAATATCTTGGGACCTGGGCATTGGGAGAGTCCAGGGGCTCTATAATTCTCCTGGGTTTATCTTTTCTTTTTTGCATCTTTGTTGTTTCTACCTATAATCTGCCATTGTTGCAAGCTTGGCTGTAACATTACCTTTTCATCAATATTATACCAATAGTTTCATTTCTTTACTATTTCTTTCCATTTCTCTTACTTGGATCCTAACAATTGGTATCAGGGCTCTCCAATCTAGGGGGCTTTGAACCACAGCGTCAGCAATCAGGAAAAAAAAAATGAGAAATCAATTTTATAAAATGAAGATTCCTATATTTTCTGGGGAAGAAGAAGCTTGGGGATGGTTGATTCAAGTTGAGCAGTACTTCAAGGCAAAAGGAATTCCGGATACTGAAAAGCCATCAGAAGCTAGGAAGGCTTTCACCAGTCAAGCTTGAAGCTGGTATCAATACTGGATTTGGTATAATCCTAATGCTAGTAGGTGGACATTTTTAGAAGCTTTCTTCAAGGAATTTCAACCGGAGGTTTGTTTGGAGGATGACGAAACTGGATTAGAGCATGAAATTTTCGACTCTAATCTAAAGTCAGAGGCAAAGATGACACCCTTCAAAGATAAGGAAGGAGAGGGGAAAATCAACGGAATATTTGAGGGAGAAGGTTCACCAACACCACTGCTAGAACAACCATTTGCAGTGATAGAGCCATCGACGCCTGAGTGTAAAAAAAAAATTCAGAATAACATCAACAATGTGAGAGAGTATCTCAAGTGAAGGTTCTTCTACTTCCACCTGCGCTGGTGGTTGACCCATCCCCGCTGTCAGAACCATCGGACTTGGACCTAAAAGGTGGTGCGTGGCGACTAGGAGTTGGAACAAGAGTGATGGCTGGGCATGAATGTGAAACGCGTGAGCAGGATGCAACAGAGAAGAGAGACGCATCTAGGTCAATGTAGGAATTGGAACAAATTTTAGAACAGGCTCAAATTGAGGTGTTGTCTTTTCTAGCCTAACTCAGAGGTTTTCTTCTATATTGTTAAGAGTGTTAGTGTTAATAGTGTAGAAGTCCCACATTGAGTGTGTCTCTTTGTATTCTTCAATTGGTTTGCTATATAATAGCACGAATGTTGTGTAGTTTAATACAACAAAGATTACTATCATTTCCTCTTGTATCTATGATATTCAACATGGTATCTAGAGCCTAACAAGAGGAATCTTAATCCGTTTAACTTAGCTCTATTTTTCATAATTTCAATATGGTTATAGAGAGATATCACCCTCCTTGAAGGATTCTCGTTGCTATTTCTTTTTCGGGTTTTTCTTAGTATGCTCTGTGACTGCAGCTTAGACTGATCTGTCACATCAGAAAAGAATGATCCTTGAGAAGTTGTTGGGTTGACCACCGTTGTCGTTGACCGCGTCGTCCACCGTTGATAGCCGTCTCTGGCAACTTTTCCGATGACTTTCCGGCGACTTTTTCGGCGATCCACCACTGTCTCTGACGACTTTTCCGACGACCCACCGCCGTCTTCGGCGACTTTTCCGATTCCGCGAAGCTTTGTTTTTCTTTAATCTTCTTTCTTCCCAAGATGGAGTATTTATACTATTCATCATCCATCTTGAGGGGGAGCACTGTCCAAGTTGCTGATGTTGTCTCCGCTGATGTTAATTCCGACACCGAAGTTCCTCTTGAGGGGGAGCACTGTCCATGTTGCTGATGGTCATTCTAGCACAATTGTCTTTGCCGATGATAATACCGGCACTGTTTAGAAGTTCCTCTTGAGGGGGAGCACTGTCCATGTTGTTGATGGTCATTCCAGCACAATTGTCTTTGCCGATGATAATTCCGGCACTGTTTAGAAGTTCCTCTTGAGGGGGAGCACTGTCCATGTTGCTGATGGTCATTCCAGCACAATTGTCTTTGCCGATGATAATTCCGGCACTGTTTAGAAGTTCCTCTTGAGGGGGAGCACCGTCCATGTTGCTGATGGTCATTCCAGCACAATTGTCTTTGGCGATGATCATTCCGGCATCTTCCATGTTGATGTTCATTTCGACGCCATTTTTAGCACATTGTTGATTTTTGGTTTCTCATTTAGGAGATTTATTTTGATGTTAAGTTACTTGATCTTTCTTGTAATAAGCTTGTAGCATAGTCAAGGGGAAACCACGACTGCTCACCAACTGTTAAATGAAATGTCTGAGAGGGATCTTGATGCTGATGTCCTGGTCAGCTCAGTTGTCTTTGCCGATGATAATTCTGGCACCATCCATGCTCTGATGTCCATTCCAGCACTGTCTCTTTATCAGCTCTTCAGACTGATGGTCATTCCAGTTGATTTGTTGTACTTAGTCATTTCATTTCGTTGATGTAGCATTGTCGTTTTTGGTTCCTAATGGGAGTATCATTTATGTATCAAGCTTGTAGCATATGATCTATATGCTACAGCTTGAGGGGGAGTGTTAAGAGTGTTAGTTTTAATAGTGTAGAAGTCCCACATTGAGTGTGTCTCTTTGTATTCTTCAATTGGTTTGCTATATAATAGCACCAATGTTGTGTAGTTTAATACAACAAAGATTACTATCATTTCCTCTTGTATCTATGATATTCAACATATATGATTCTGTTTTGTTGAAAGATTGGGCCTGTGAGCCCATGAATCTACTTGAGGTAAGTGAAGTTAAAGAATATGGGCAGCAACTAAATGTGTTGGGCTGGACCACCGAAGAACCAAAAATTGTAAATAAGCCCTTGGGGTTAGTCATGGACCCACTAGTTCATGTTTCCCAACACCAAACCCTAGTTTTCTTGATTGGCAATGGGGACAGCTGCAGGAAACAATGTGTGACGCAATACGAATTTACGCGAGTGGCGACGTGGTGCAAACGTGAACAGGGGCAGAAGACGGCAAAGAGACAGCAGCACACGATGGGCACGAACAGACGCGATAAGCACGAACAGGGGACGCCTCAACAGACACGAGTGCAGCAACGGTGAGCGGAGATGACGCGACAGAAGCGGATGGCAGAACGGCGACGACTAACGGAGCGGGTTGCTAGAGCGTTGCAGCTCTAAGATAGGCGGCGGCTGTTTGCTGAAAGGAACCCTTGCGAACACTTGAAAGTTGGAAAGTGTATTGTATTTTGTTGTGTATAAAACTGTACAAGAGTCCTCTGTTTAAAGAGGTTAAATGACCTAATGGGCTAAGCCCAAATAACCTTCTAGAATAATAAAATAATAATAATAAAACTAATATTATTTCTAACACGAAATAAGAGGGCAAGACAGAGACTTTGGGAATGTTAACTTCTTGCTCCAAACAGCACTAACAAGTGAATTTTTAAATGTCATCGATGGGCTGTCTAGCAAAGAAATTCTTTTAAAAGTCAGGGAGTGGACCAAGAAAAGTGGAGATAGAATCAAGGCCTTAAAGGTTCTGGTGTTGAAGAGTGACGAAGAGACGATCGGAAAAAAGCAATGGGATCCCGGTGAAAGTTATCACACTTCAAGCAAACAATGGGATCCGGGTTGAAGGTTTTGAGGGTTGAACTTCACCTTGAGGACAAGGTGAAAGTCTGGGGGGGGAGTATTGTTATGATCCCTAATAATAAAAGCTGAGTGAGCAAATGGTTAGTTTGTTATGGGGATAATATTCCCCCTTTTTCTATTAGGGGTGTGTTTGATGAGGTGAGGTTGAAGTGGCTATATAGAGGGAGGGAAATTATTGTAAAGGTATCTGGAATATCTTGGGACTAGGGCATTAGGAGAGTCCAAGGGCTCTATAATTCTCCTGGGTTTATCTTTTCTTTTCTGCACCTTTGTTGTTTCTATCTGGAATCTACCATTATTGCAAGCTTGGCAGTAACATTTCCTTTTTGATCAATAGTTTCATTTCTTTACTATTTCTTTCCATTTCTCTTACTTGGATCTTAACACCATGACATGAGGCCTTGATATCATGTAAAAAACCACTTCAACCCAAAACCTTAAGGTGTTGGGTGATGGCCTTTTTAATGATTTATATTATTCTCAAACAAGTCTAATAAACTAATATTGAAATTTATTAACATTAAAGTCAATTTTCACACAAGTTTATTATTTCAGTGGTGAAACGAGATTTTCCAACCTGCAAAACGTAGCCCAGCATCACTGCAGGCTAGAGCAGTCATCATCATGTGTGAACTATCCAGTGAATGAACAAAATTAGGAGGAAATGCACTTCTCTGTTTCTTCACAGATACCTAGAATACAAATAATTTAAATAATGAAAATACTTCAGAAAAAAAAAGGAAACTGGAATATAAAGATTATGTATACTTACTTCACTACCCTCCCTCTGCAAAGCCAAAATCTGAAGAGATGTTCTGATCTGCAGTCCAGGGTGAGATTCTTTATTGTGGAGATTCAAAATGGGCCAAAACGTTTAAAATCCATATAATTTGATTCAAATCTATAATCATTGGGACCTGTATGGGTTTCCATAACTAATACTATCAACAGAGTACACTATACTGCACGCATCTATGTTGCTGAAAACTAGAGTTTCCCAATATTTGGACAGTACTTTGAGATGCACAACTCAACAGAATATTTTTATGGCTTACTGGCCAGGACGACATTTAATAGGAAATATCAGATTGTCTATATCCAAGCAATTCCAAGTGCAATGGAATGTAATGTCCACCATCACAAAGAAGCAACCTTACCTAATATTACTCAAAAGGCTTTCCCTCCTTAGTTTCCTAATATTAGAGATTGTAAATTCCTATATTCCTATTATTAGAGATTGCAAATCATGCAAAAATAGGAGCATTTGAGGATTTCCTCAAGCATTCAGAAATTACTCTTTCACAATATAAATAGAGCTTAGTACTTTGTCTTTTGTAACACATCCTTCACATCAAATCAATATCAATTTTAGATTATTCATAGTCTCTTTTCTCCTTCACTACCTAAATCGCTTTAATGTCATCAGAGAGAAATATATTTATGTAATGAGATGTGATACAAAACACAAACCTAAGAGTAAACCAAGTACCAGTGTAGTACAATGAGTACAAGCTAAACGCAATTATGCCACTTATCCTAACACAACAGAAATTCTAATATTCCAACACTTCCAATCAATCCATTTATGAAGCTCTCAGCTCATTACAAATAAATACACTTAGAAAATAAAAAAAATATATAATGGGCTCAATAAACCAGTTTAAAAGGTGTCCCGAACAATGCTGGAGAGACAGCGCAGAAAAATGAGCCATCCCAAACACTATTGACTACTAGAGAGACCATAATATGAGCACTACTGCAAAGATAACACAGTGAGAAGATGGATGAATTGATGTACAGCCAACTTAGAACGACACCTGCTCAAGAAAATGGCAATACACCAATAATTGCACCCCACTGGTTATGCTAGCATGCTAAAGAGGGATCCACATTATGCATCCATCTATTGCATCAAGTCACAAAGTTACCAATATACTTCTTTAGTGAGATTGCATATAATTTTAAGTCTTTCAAATATTAAAGCTTGTTGTATCATTCCTTTAACTGCTAATATTCATTGTGTATTTTGTAAATTGGTTTTTACCTCTGCCACTGTAAAGTATATCAATACCTAAAATAAATAAAGAAAAAAAATCTGTATATAGAAGGCTCACCAGATGACGTTCAGCTTTACAGTATGGTTGTATAACAGGAAGACCAAGAGGAGTGGTCCAACAAACAGCCTGGTTTTCATAAGCAATCACCTGTAAAATGTTTCAGACCCCCACCTTTCAGGAAACGAGACAAAGGAAGGAAAAATATACCCATACCAGAGACATATAACAGATGCATAAACCCACATGCAAAAGTGCCAAGAGTAACTGTAAAGAACCAATTCAACCCAAAAGCTTAAGCTATTGGGTGAGGCTATATTAATGGTTTTAAATATCTCAACACGCCCCCTCACACGAGAGCCCACTGGGCTTGAAGGGTGGACAATGCACAGGCCCACCTACCTGTGCGAAGAAAGAAATTCCACTAGAAAGAAAGTGGGGGACGGCGAGGTTCGAACCCGGGACACGAGGCTCTGATACCATGTAAAGAACCAATTCAACCCAAAACCTTAAGCTATTGGGTGAGGCTATATTAATGGTTTTAAATATCTCAACAGTAACCAACAGCATCATTCCGAGTATAACATGCAATACGATAGCTAACCTTTGCACAATCACCAAGCCAACCCATAATGCCACGCGCAGCTTCAAATACTTCTCCAAGGGCAGCCAATGTCACCTATAGAAATTAAGTTTGACAATGTTGACCAAACGTCCTAATATGACTCAGAATGATCAGAGCATCTAACAACAACATCCAGAAAGCTGATGGAATGTCTAAGCATGTCTTTTCTCATATATTTTCGCACCAAAACCATTAGCAACTAAACAGTTGGATAACCAACTAAAAATACAATACCATACAATACTCCATCTTAAATTCACTATCTGAGTTTCATTTTGATTGCATTACATCTAAAAAGTACCCATGTCTTTCTTTCTCTCTAAAAAAAAAAAAAATCCTTTATATTTTTTGCATAAAAGAAGAGATCTTTTTAGAAAGAATACTTCTCTGTTTTATTCTATTAAGTATTAGGGAACGGATCTACTTACCACCAAAAAAGTTTACAACTCTTACAACCAATTTAATCACCGTTGATTTCCGTCAATCTAACGGTTATAAATTAATAACATTTATTGTGTCACATTTATTAATTCCCAATAAATTATAACCATTAGATTGATGGAAATCAACGGTGATTAAATTGGTTGTAAGAGTTGTAAACTTTTTTGGTGGTAAGTGGATCCTCCCCCTAAGTATTAACCATTCCACAAAAGCAATGATCTCATACTGCAACAATAAAATTGCACATCAAGGCAACTATTGCAATATGTGAAAATACTGAGGGAATTGTATTTCATTGATTCTATCCAAATGTGGGAGTTTACAGTATATACATAAAGTCCTAACTGATGAAACCGAAACTAATTAATTACAATAATGGGCCTTAATCAGGAAACTAATTAGTGGGATCCTAATTTACTCATTCCAATTAATTATATAATAATTTGAAATTCAAATTATTCCACACAATCTGTAACAGCTAAAATTCTAGCATATAAGGTGGCTGATACTCACCTTAGCAGCATAGCAAGCTGCAGTAAATAAAAGTCTATCATCAGTAATGAGGCCTTTCTCCTGTAATCTTTTCTTGATTTGCTCTCGTGCCCCAATAAAAGTAACACCATAAACAGAAGTCATCACTGTCTGTTTGACCAGTTTCCTATCAATCTGAATACTTCCAAAAGTTATGAGCAGGACAACACAGAAAGAGACCATAACCAATTGCTGGAGTATAAATTTTATCATTTAACAATTAGCACAACTTTGAAACTTCAAAATCAAGACTGACCTGATCAATTAACACCTTCGCTAACAGAGCGTTAGGATAAGTATCTGGGTCTTTGTTGCTGTCTTTTCTCATTATATCATAAACCCTGCTCATATTACAATTTAAGTGACAATAAAATATTAATTGTCCATAGTAATGAAGACAAAGATCAACTGTACACCCACAGGATGAATCATGAAAGTTCTTTAATGAGTTGTAAAACTTACTCAAGCAAAGTAGGTCATGAGGTAAGATTTTTTTAAAAATGCAACCACCTTAGTGAAAAACACAAAAACATGTAAACTCATACTTGTAAATAGCCCCGCTTTAGTGGAGTTGCATTGCGGTGCAGCGGCCGGCCGCCACAGACCGCTGCGACGGTCAAGCGAAGTGTAGCGGATGTAGCGGCCGCTATTGCAGCTGAATCGCGGCGCTATTGCGCTGCTACAGTAATTTCTGCAAAAGTGTCCTCGTCGTAGAAGGAAGAGATTTACAACTTAGATATAAGTGAAAGTGAAGATGAAGATTTGGATGTTAATGATTTTAATTATGATTAGTTCCTTAAGTTCTTTGATTTTGACATTTCACTTAAGTGGCAGTTTGAATTTTGGCTAATTTTGCCACTTTATTTTGTTGTGTTACATTATTTGAGACTTTAATTTCTTCAATTTGCTTATGATTTGAATTTTAATGTTTGAAATCATTTATGTTTGAGTTTGAGATTCTTCAAATTTGTTTTTTATCTCACATTTTCATATTTTAAGTTTTATATTTGTGGAGTACAATATAGTGTATCACTTAGATACACTTTGCACAGTAGCGTTGTAGTGCTACCTGCTATAACGCTATAGCAGTTTGGAGGGTCATCCGCTACGCGCCGCTATCCGAGATTATAAGTATGCATAAACTTACAAGCAGAAGCATTGTGTTAGAAACCAAATCAAAATACTCAGTTGGGATAAAACTATTGTATTATACCTCGGAATACTGGTACAATAATCTACCTGCACCAGTACAATGAACGATAAAGACTGAAACAGTAGAAAGACACTATGGTGTTCTCGAGAGACCCTACACTCTCCCTCACTGTCCTGTACCTATTTTCCTGCCTCTATCTTCTCCCCATCTCCTTTCTGATAGCTATACAGGTCAACATTCCCTCGATTCCCCTTGATTTCCTTACTAGAAACATTTTAGATTAATCACTCAATTTCCCTTGATTGCCTATTAAGCAATCCATTACATTAATCATTCAATTCTCCTTGATTGCCTCTTTGCACTCTTTCCTAATATAAGCCTTAGTAATAGGTTGTTTCCTAACAATACTTTCTCCCAAAGCCTTCACCTTATCCTTAAGGTGAGAGGTAGGAAACTCTTCTTGTAGTCTCGTCCCACCAATGTCTGGGAAGTCCTGACATTTAATTAGGACTTCAGCTATACCCATGGGCATGATTCTATAATCCAGTACCTCTACAGGCTGCATCTTGACTTCCCATTTGTCAGATAGGAAAGCAGGTAATGGTTGACTCTATGCAGGAACATGAATAAATTTCTTAAGCAGTAAGATATGGAATACAGGGTGCAGACAGCTGCCAACAGGTAAGTTCAATTTATAAGCAATCTAGCAAACACATTGAAGGATCTCAAAAGGCCCATAAAACCTGGGACTAAGCTTTCATTAACCTTCTTTGCTAATGATTTGAGTCTATAAGTTGAATTTTTAGGTAGAATAAATCTCTAGGTGGGTAGCACACATCCCTTCTATGCTTGTAACCTGCAATTTCATCCTGTTCTGGGCCCTTACAATGTTATGTGAGCTCTGATGCCAATTTTAGAAACTCAATCAAAACACTCTTAGTAGGGGTAAATTTACTGTATTATTCCTCTAAGAATATTGGTATCACTATGCTATCAGTACCAATGTGATCCGCTTACAATGAACAATAAATATTGAAACTGGAAATTGATTATATAGAGTATTCGAGAGACCCTGCACCCTCCCTCATCACCATCCTCTACTTATTTTCCTGCCTCTATCTTCTCCCCATCTCCTTTCTATAGCCATACAGGTCAACTTCTCTCCCGATTCCCCTTTATTGCCTTACTGGAAATGTTACACAAATCATTCAATTTTGCTGGACTGCATCTCATGCAATGTTACATTAATCATTCAATTCTCCTTGATTGTCACTCTACTTTCTTTCCTAATATAAACCTTAGTAATAGCTGGTTTCCTATCACATTGCATTTTACATTCCTCAACATAGTAAGATAATTGCGTGAAAGGTTTTGAGCACAACATAATGTAGCATGAAACAGCTTCAAATGCAAAACACATAAATTGCTGAGAATGAATTTAACATACTTAACCGCAATCTCGGAGTAAACATCAGCGGGTTTCTCTTTGGCAACCAAGTTAACTGCAGCAGCCTCCAGCTGAAAAAGCACATTTAGTCCAATAAAGAAATAATAGATGTCACTCAAATTAATCAGAAACAGCAAATATTACAGAATAATTTATCACTTTAACCACACAAGTAACAGAAGGCAGTTGATCAAGTCTTTGTAGCAAAGAAGAGATTATATGTATGTAGGACAAATCATAGTAGTCAATAGCGGCGCTATTGCGCCGCAAGCCGCGCCAGTTGCGCTTCGCGGAGCTTCGCCGTAATCATTCTCGCTGCACCGTACCAGATCGCAATAGCGGTCGTTGCGGCCGCATTTGCAGCCAAATCTCGCCACAACAGTGCCTTTTTATGATTTTAACCCTAACTCAATCTCCCTTTCTGCCTCTCTCTGTTGTGTGTCTCTCTTCTGCCTTTCATGCTCTCTATATCACGCTCGTTTCTTCCCTTCTCTACTTCTCTCTTATAGTATTGAAGTTCAATGCGGAAACCATGAATGAAGAAGCAAAGCTTTGTGTGAGAGAAAGAGTGAGAGAGAGAGAGAGCAGATAACGGAGAAAAAGTGAGAAAAATAGTAATAGAGAGAGAGAGAGAGAGAACAGATGAAGGAGAAAAAGAGAAACTGTGAGAGAGAACGGATGAAAGAGAGAAAGTGAGAAAGAAAGAGATTCTGATCTATCTTCATTCAAAGAAAAGAAAAGTACATTTGTCAGAAAAGTGATTCACAAGTCACGGTAACCAAGTAACCTGGTTGGTTACAGTAACAGAGGGTAAAACTATTTCTGTATCCCAAAAAAAAAAAAAAAAGAATGCATCATTAAAAGGTAACTAAAGTAAAACAATAAAGTATTATTTGTATTTTTTTAGGTGTTATTAATTTTTTAATAATTTATTATGTTACATATACACACACACACACATATATATATAATTTGTTTTTGGGTTTGGTGTTTGTCATTTTAAATGACATAAGTTATATCATTTTAGGAGAGAGATAGAGACAGAAAAACGAAAATCATGGGAGAGAGAAAGTGGATGGTTTTTTTTAATTTAAAATTCAAATAATTTTTTTTGTGTCTGTCTCTCTCTTAAAATAACATAACTTTAAGTCATTTAAAATGAGAAACACTTTTCCCTTTGTTTTTTTAATATATATTTTTTCCGCTATTTCCGCAACCGCAATCCGCAATAACGCTATAGCGGTTTTGAGGGTTGGCCGCAATCCGCATTTGATAACTATGGGACAAATTAATTAGCTCTGCACTGACTAAGATCATGGTAGCCGTTTTAGAATTAGTATTAATAACAAACACTTTAATTGCCATAGAAAAGTAATTAATCATAAACCATCACAATCATGAGTCATTTCATGTGATACTGATCATTGACTCGTATCAGGAAAATAGAACATCAATATAAAAACAAGTCAATTGACTCAATTTTAAGTAGATCCAATCCAATATACCAGAAAGGGAACAGAAAGAGTAATAACCACATTTAACTAGAAGCATGGTGATGCACATAAATTTAATAACCAAGGGTTGGGAGAATGGGAAAGCAATTAACAAATTATAATGATAAGATTGCTATCACTTAATGTAAAATTACTGGCCACAAAATTGAATAAGCTACCTGACATGGAGATATTATCATTTGAAGGTAATGAAGCAGCTAAAAATTCCCAAAATAATTGGAAAAAAAAAGGAAGACAATTTTTCTATTTATTGAATAAGCTGTGTTATATGATGTCGCATGAGTACAAGATAGTGGTTATATTAATACACCAAAATGATATTTGTCGAAGACTCACTTTTTTATAAGCTTAATCTACTAGGCAGAGGCCCATTAATGATTTTACCTCTGTAACACATCCATTTAAGCAAAGCTCTTTGGCTTAAAGCATGGACAATGCATAGACCTGCTCTCCACCGTAATTATGAAGAATGAGGTAGTAAGGATTGAAATTGGTCATAAAGACTCTACTACCATGTCAAGGACTGCATTGCCTAAAAGCTTAAGGCATTAGGTAGAGGCCCATGATTCATGAATGATTTTCTCTCTAACAATACTACCATGTTCAATGTCACAGTGACTCAAGGAAAGATACTAAAGAAAACTACATAAAAACATTATATAATACTGAAATCATCACAAACCAATTATATAACTCTAAAAAAGAAAATACAGATTATACTAGGACTGGTAGCAAAAGTGAAAAAATGAGATATAAGTAAACCTACATTATTTCTTCCCAAAGCTGCATAGTGCTGTAAGCCATTGCAGGAACCATCCTAAAAGTAAATTAGAGCAGAATCACTAACAAATATATTTCAAAAACATGAAATACGACATACGGTGATTGAATAAAATATGAAGTTTTGAAACCAGAAAAATCCACAATGCATTCACTTTGGTTCCGAATTTCAAGTTTCCCCATCGTTTTTTTTTTTGGTTTTCCCTTTCATTACATGTTATCTTCTAGATAGTAAAATTTTATAGGAGATCTTACACCAATATTACTCTGTCTCGAAGTTCAATAGGAGAGCTTGGAGTCAATTTGGTTAATCCCAAAAGAATTCTGCAAAAACGGCTTTTTTTCCCACTTCTTTTAAGGCTTCCAATGAAGAATTTACCTGATGGATTGGGAGATGCGAGATAACAGAATTTGGTGATGAGCTTCTTAAGGCTTCTGATAGATTAATACAAGCAGCAAGGCACTGGAAAGGATCCTCAGCCGTTAACCACCAACGATTTCCATTAGAAGGGTTATCAGCAGAGTCAAATATATCATGGATATGATTCTCCACAAATCCTAGGCGTCCATCATAAGACAGCTTTTCAATACCACCACCATACAAATTTGCTAAATGTATCTTCAGCCATCGTAGTCCAGACTTTCCCAATGGTCGCCCTTCAGCAAATTCAAGTAGTCCTCGACATAGATCAGAACCTAAATGATTCAAATGAGGATGCATAGGATATGCTCTGCCACGAAAGTCAAGATTGTGCGGATAATAAAAGCATTCCTCATCTTTCATTTTTCGTGCCACCTGTTTCAGAGTTATTTTCTTGAAATTAGTGCTTATCTGAAACATGGGATAGATTTGAACATGAATATAGAAAACTTATGTCATTCATGATCATATTGAGCTAACAAAACTTTGAGAATCAAAACTAAGTATGCATTTGGATCCTTTCATTTGAGTATGTCAGGTGAAGAGAGAAATAGAAGCAAAAATCCTACATAGGGCTCCAAAAATTTATCCTGTGCAGGATCTCTGTGTTTGTCTCCATGGACATGACCTTATCATATGAAAAATTCACACGAGAGAATCGAAACTCATCTAAGTACATCCTATTAAGCAAGCTGTAGGCGAGATCATAGGTAACTGATATAACTAAAATTGGAATTTTCAGTTTTTCTCGATTGTTCGAACATAGCATAGAAAAATACTTCACATTGCGGGGGAAGATCTTACAGAAAGCTTCAATTCGGTGTCACATCTTTGAGAATGCCTCTCTAGATTAATTTTTTTTGCCTTCCTTACTCTGCATTTCCACTCCTGAATTTGTTTTGAATCCTCTACTAGCGGCTTATCCGGTATAGGAACCTACAAGTCAAAGAAGAATATATGTAGGCCAGATTAATTACATAGTAATAGATAACGTTAAGAATTCATTATAGGATTGTAAAAAACAATCTGCAGAACTTTTTCGAACAAGTATAGGGATTTGGCAACAAATGATTTTGGAAATTTCATATCATGATTGCTCATGACTCATTGAAATCTCAATTACAAAGCTTGGTTGTTTAAGGACATCAAGTGATTCAAATATCACCATCAAGAGGTGAATATATGTATTAGTTTATGTAAAGCTCCTTTTTATTTAGCTTTGTAGTCTAATGATCAAAAGCAAGAGGTAAACAGAAAAAATAAGGAAAGAATACAATCATTCTTTTATGAAGACTTCAAAATCTGTCCTATATATCTGGGAAACAGCCTTTTTGTCAAAATACAAGGCTAAAACTGTGTATAATTGACTCTCACCCCCTACCCTCACAAAATCAAGGAGCCTTGTGCACTAGGTCTACCCCTTTTTTTTGTTTATCGGCCTTTTCTAACATAGAAGAAACAACTCATTTAGAAGGACAGGAGAATATCGCAAGTAATCCATTAAATTGTTTATATATGCTTACATCTTTACAATCAACCAGTCCTGCGATGTTACCTCCTTCAGCCCAGATAGACTCCACAACTCTAAATAATTTTCTATTTATTCGCCATTTGGTACTGCCAAGAACATCCAAGGCCTGCACAAATGTTTCATTCAAAGAAGGATAGGTCAAATTTATAAACAAGACACATTAAATTCATACTAAAAAAGGAAAAGCAATAATACCAAAAAAATTACACCTTTTTGTTGGGAAAATGGATTGAGTTTTCAGAGAGATGAGAAAAAAAGAGACAGGAAAGGAAAAAAAATGACTTTGGTAATATTGAATTACAAACAAAGAACAAAGAAAAGAATTCTCCTTCCAAGGGTTTTCCCTTTCTACAACAGAGCCAATTTTCAGTGTCCAAATGATAACAAATCAGAATCCCCACTCTTTTACCCTCTCCTTCTATTTAAGCTAATTTTCTACTTCTACAACTTTAACCACCTAACAATCTATTAGTGTTATCCCCTTGATATTCAACCTTCTCCTCAAGGTTGGATTGTTGGAATCTGAGTGCTAATGGTTTGCATGTCCATTTCCCAAGTGGCCTCAACCATTCATGGTAAATTCAGCCCTTGATCCACCATAGCCAAGTAGCCAACATGATTTCCCACCCCTTTGCACCTCTTTTTGCCAATATTCCCATCCTCATAGCTCCTTTCTAACACCACTTCCGGCAAACTCGATTGCATTATGAACTAGACCCTCTTCATTCATGTGTTAGAAGTTTGCTGCCATTAACTTCACCTAAGCTAGAATTGTCATCTTGGGAATTGGGTCATGGCCCAAGTCCCTTATATGGAAATATCTTCAATACTCCCATAGCACCGAAGACTAGTGCATCATTTATTGAAATTGGAAAAAAGTAATACAACTGACTTTACCTATTTTACCCACCATTTTATGTTTAATACCACCCAAGTCCCATTTTTTCCTATTTCTAGTAAAGGAGTGTTGTTGAAATATACAAAACCATTAATGTAGCCTCACCCAACAACTTTTTGGTTGAATTGGTTCTTTACATGGTATCAGAGTCTCGGTGTACCGGGTTCGATACTCACCGCCTCCCACTTTCTTTCTTGTAGAAAATCAAAATTCAAACATGTTTTCGTTTTTATTTCCTATTAATTAGCATTCATTATGATTGATTAGGATTGATTGTGATTGATTAGAATTGATTGTGATTAGGATTGATTAGTCATCGCTTAGTCATTCTTAGCGATTCTTTCTTGTATAAATACTCACTCATGTAAATTATTCAAGATCAATATATATATTCAAGATCAATATATAGAAACTTCTTTTCAATATGGTATCAGAGCTTGAGGTTCGATCCTCACCGCTCCCCACTTTAAAGTGGAAGCACAAAAAAGGTAAACCAAAGATTGGGCCTGTTGCATAATCCACGCTTCAAGCCAAGAGGGCTCTTGCGTAAGGGGGCGTGTTGAGATATATAGTCCCACATTGGTTGAAGAGCAACTAATGTGAGAGTTTATAAGACCTTAGGCACTCCCACCCTTAGAGCTAGCTTTTGGGGTGGTGTATCCCAAGGTTCTTTAACATGGTATCAGAGCGGGTTCGTTCCTACCCTAATTCAAATCTGAAATAACCATCCAAACACTTCCATCATCGTCAAACACCTCCTAAACACCTCCTTGAATCTGTCCAACACAGAAACCTAGTCTACTAACCTCCGATCAAGAAAGTGAGGTGACCATTCGACTCAGAAGGATCCGACGAGTCGACCGCCGCTGGACCCATCGCCGTCAACCGCCGCACGCGCCGTCACACGCGCGGCCAATCTCCGACGCGTGAGCTCCACGCGCCGCCTTCCCAACGTCTTTTTCCGCCGCGACTTGCACAAACCTTCTCGCCGGCTTCTCCCCTTCCTGTTCCAGAGGTCAGATCAAAAATTTACAAAACTTGATTTTTTCATGAACGGTCAACCCTTCTCTTTCTATTCATGGCTTCCTCAAAACACTCTTCCGCCTCCTCATCTGCCCCAAATTCTCAGTCCTATGGAGACAACTTAGGATTGCAGATCACCAATCACCGGTTGAACGGTAAGAATTTTCTGCAATGGTTTCAATCAGTTAAGTTGGTCATCCGGGCAAAGGGTAAGATGGGCTATCTTGAGGGGAAAATTAAGAAATCTACTGATGACAAGGTTGATGAGCCTCATGAATCCTCTGATGGTGTCTTTCTTACCAAGACTCAGTTTGAACAACTTCAGAGACTTTTGACTCAACCTCCTAAGGCCACTAGTCATGTGGTCCAGCAAGGTACAGCTTTCCATGTTGATAGTCAAAATCATTGGATCCTTGATTCTGGAGCCTCTGATCATATGACAGGTAATCTTGGCTTGTTTTGTTCATACACTCCATATTCTGAACCTTCTCGGGTCAAGATCGCCGATGGCAGTTTTTCCCAGATTGCGGGACACGGAACTATTAAACTTTCTGAGCTGATTACTTTGACATCAGTTCTTTATGTTCCTTCTCTGACTTGTAATCTCATTTCCATTAGCAAGCTCACCTCTGAGTTGCATTGCTTTGCTAAATTCTTTCCACATGGTTGTGTTTTTCAGGAACAGGACTCGGAGAGGATGATTGGCAGTGCTAGAGAGGATGGTGGACTTTACTACTTTGAGGAGGATGTGACTCATGAAGCTGTTTTCGTAGAAAAAAACTCTATATTTCCTTTTGATTCATGTAATGATGTTATGCTGTGGCATCGTAGGCTAGGCCATCCAAATTTTATTTATCTTCAGAAGTTGTTGCCAAACTTATTTATTAATAAAAGTTCAAGTTTGTTTTCTTGTGATATTTGTTAACTTGCCAAGCATACTCGTGCTCATTATCCTTCTAAGGTTCACCATGACTCTTCCCCATTTTCCTTAATTCATAGTGACATATGGGGTCCAGCCCGTATTAAAAATATTTCAGGTACTCGATGGTTCATTACCTTCATTGATGACCATTCTCGAGTCTGTTGGGTGTATCTTCTAAAGGATAAGTCTGATGCTGCATCCGTGTTTAAAAAATTTCATGCCATGGTTCAAACCCAATTCCAAGTTGCTAGACAAATTCTTCGTACAGATAATGGCAAAGAGTATTTTAACTCTATTCTTGGAGAATATCTTTCCCAACATGGCATCTTTCACCAAAGCTCGTGTCCTGACACACCCCAACAAAACGGAGTTGCAGAAAGAAAAAACCGACATCTCCTTGAAGTTGCTGGGGCTCTTATGTTTACCACGAGTGTTCCTAAATATCTTTGGAGAGAGGCAGTTCTCACTGCCTCGTATCTGATAAATCAAATGCCATCTCGCATTCTGAAATTTCAGTCTCCTCTTTCTAGTCTTGTCCGTATCTTCCCTTCCTTCCGAGGTGTCTCCTCCTTACCTCTCAAGTTATTTGGTTGCGTTGTATTTGTCCATATTCCCTCCCATCAACGGTCTAAGCTTGATCCTAAGTCTCTCCAGTGTGTCTTTATTGGTTATTCTCCTACTCAACGTGGCTATAAGTGTTATTCACCCTCTCTTCGTAAGGTCTTTGTCTCTATGGATGTCACTTTTTCTGAGAATGACCCTTTCTTCCCCTCGACTTCTCTTCAGGGGGAGTCTATAGGAGTAGATGAAGATCAGTCATGGGAACCTACTGATGTCACGGTATTACCTCTACTTTTGGAAACAAGGGGAGCTACAGAATCCTCACCATCAAGAGCCTCCTCAAAATGGGGACAAGTTTATAGCAGGCGAAAGCCTCCTCAAAGTGTGAATAACCCAGAGCCTCTACACTGCCAGGATTCTGAACCATGTTCTAGTTTCAGCACCCCAATACTTGAGTGTCGTGGTGAAAATGATCTACACTTGCCCATTGCTCTCAGAAAAGGTACTCGATCTTGTACTACTCATCCTATTTCTAATCATATTTCATATGGAAAGTTGTCCCCAGGGTTTCGTGCTTTCAATACGATGTTGGATAGTACAAAGATACCGAGAAATATACATGAGGCTCTCAATGATCAAAAATGGAGGGATGCTGTCTTTGAAGAAATGAATGCTTTAGAAAGAAATGGAACTTGGGAGATAGTGACCCTACCTAAAGGAAAACAGGCAGTAGGATGCAAATGGGTGTTTACAATAAAATTCAATGCAGATAATAGCATCAACAGATACAAGGCAAGATTGGTTGCAAAGGGTTTCACTCAGACTCATGCGATAGATTATCATGAGACTTTTGCTCCGGTTGCTAAAGTCAATACCATCCGAGTTCTCTTATCTCTTGCTGCCAATATAGATTGGCCTCTGCAACAGTTAGATGTGAAGAATGCATTCCTAAATGGTGACTTACATGAAGAAGTCTATATGGATCCTCTACCTGGTTTTGAAAAGGAAAATGGATCAGTGTGTAAACTAAAAAAGTCTCTATATAGATTGAAACAGTCTCCCAGAGAATGGTTCGACAAATTCACACAAGCAGTCAAAAGAAGAGGCTTCATTCAAGCACAGACTGATCATACTCTCTTCCACAAACACTCTAAGGATGGTAAAATTGCTATTCTTATTGTATATGTAGATGATATAATTCTTACAGGTGATGATATTGAGGAATTGAACACCTTGAAGAAATTTCTAGCAGCTCAATTTGAAGAAATTCCTTGGTATGGAAGTTGCTAGGAGCAAAACAGGCATCACTCTAACACAAAAGAAATATGTTCTAGATCTTTTGTTGGAAACAGGAATGTTAGGGTGTAAACCTGCTGAGACACCTGTGGAACCTAATACCAAGTTAGGTATTGAAGATGAGAATGAGGTGGATAAAGAACAATATCAGTGATTGGTTGGTAAACTAATCTACTTATCTCATACGCGTCCTGACATTGCCTTTGCGGTGAGCATGATTAGTCAATTTATGCACTCACCCAAGGAGAAGCATCTTAGTGCAGTCTATAGGGTGCTTAGATACCTCAAGAATACTCCAGGAAGAGGATTATTCTTTAAAAAGGGGTATAAAAGAACAATTGAAATCTACACTGATGTAGATTGGGCAGGCTCATCAGTAGACAGGAGATCTACCTCAGGCTATTGC